TGGCTTTGTCCCACAAAGTCGATCACGACCTCAACGCCCTTGCCATTCGTCGTGCTCTTTACTTCTTCCGCAAAGTCTTGGCTTTTATAGTTCACGCCATGGGTGGCACCGTTGGGCATGGACAGGAGCCAGTCGAGCTTCTCCTGCGTGGAGGCCGTCGCTGTCACAGATCTCCTGTGAAATAGCAGGTATTCAGATAAGGTCAATCGGGACCGGACATACACGGCCAACGAGGCAGACGAGGGGGAGGGGTGGACGAAAAAGCCATACTCACGCGCCGAAAACACGTGCAAGCTGAATGGCTGCCACACCCACGCCAGACGCACCAGCATGGACGAGAACGTCTTCGTTCTTCTCGACTTCTCCGTACTTGATGAGAGCCTGGTATGCTACACGTGTTGTTGTTGTTGTTATTGAAGGGGGGGGGGGGGGAGAAAGAAGTCATCAAGGCGTTTAGTGCATTCTCCGCTGACCAGTGTAAATACCGTGACTGACCTGTGAGGAAGTTTTCCGGGATGCTAGCTGCTTCCACCCAGGATAGATGGCTAGGCTTGGGGATTAGGAGACCTTGATGGCAGTTGATGTATTCGGCATAGGCACCCTGTGGAATTCAATAGATAGTTTCAGCTTTTGGCGCGCGATACAAACTTAAACCCGTCAGGATGGATAATCAATGAGTCACTCACGCCTCCTGCGAGACCGAAGACCTCGTCGCCAACGTTCCAGCTGGTCACATCGGGGCCTAACTCTGAGACAAGTCCCGAGAACTCGACACCCAGGATCGTGGACGCGCCTGGAGGAACAGGATATCCACCTTGCCGCTGAGACAAGTCCATACGGTTCAGGCCGAATGCTTTGATCTGACGGACGGACAAATGAACCTGATGAACATTGGGGGGGTCTTGGGGTATCCCTGCAGTGGTAACGAACCTTGACAAGCACTTGTCCTGAGCTGGGAACTGGCTTTTCGGTTTCTCCGATAAAGAGGTTTTCTATCGGGCCTTTCCCATCTTTGATAAGAACAGCACGCATGGGGGCCATTATCGTTAATAAATCCCGCTGTGGTGTGTCAATGGTATGAGATCTCCTCGAATCTTGGCCTGCAAAACACTTGTTAGAAGCTTTCAGTTTCAGAGTTCAAAGTTGGTCATTTATTTAACTTATCCTTAGTAAGAGATGGAGTCATGTGCTCTTTGCACCTAAAATAAACAACTCGCGTTTTTTCGCATGTAGTAAGCCCATCCCGCGCGTTGGGTCAGTGATTAGAAAGCCGGGATAATCACCGGGCAGCAAAGTGGGATGGACCATGCTTAGTGATACGCTCCTGCTGACGATGGACGACTCGGAGCCTGAAAGTTGTGTTTGAAGCCCACGAATCGTATTGCAGGACATTAATACAGACGCCCTGAAAGAAGTGACAAGTCACTGAGGAGAGTTCATGATGGCCGGGTCGTAATCAGCCGGGAAAAATGAGGCGATCATCGAAACCTTGCAAAACGAACAAAAAGTCAAGAATAAAATTTGGCTCGAGGGGGCTGCAAGAAGTGAAGAAAGAAAAAGAAGAAGAAGAAGAAGAGTGTTGACAGCGGAATAGACAGCTTATCCGTGAAATAAATTGCGAACATGTTAAGCGACAGAACGGTGTTCACGTTTGGCTAAACCTTCAGTGGCAGTATAATTGGACAGGCTCCTGCCCGCGAGGATGGGCTTCTCTGGTACCTTGCCCGTGCCCGTGCCACTCGAAGCGGTATAGGGGGGACGAGGGCGGTGCGGCCAAAGTGATTGAGCGCGCGACGGTCCAGGTGGGTGGGTTCCTCGTACGTCGTTTGTGGCCATATCTGCGGACCGGCGGTGATGAGCAGCGTGGGCAAAGTAAGGCTTTATGAAGGTACGCCATGTCCAAGTTGAGCATAAATGACACTTGCGGGTTCCTCGCGAACGCCCATGGAACAGGAGTTCGTATGTGGGTTGCTTCAGTGGACGGCTTCGTTGAAGTTTCCACAAATGGAAGGGGCGGCTTCCGCAGGGGTCGGGGGAGAGGGAAGGTGGTTGGGCGTCAGAATATCACTATAGACTGACGGCATTCATGTCTGACTTGAAAGGTATAACTGGAGGAAATGAGTGGCTGATATCGGCTATGGTGGGGGTACCTGTTGTCAAGATAGAACTTGGCAGCGAAAAAACAAACTTGGGAGGCCTTGGTCGTCGGAAAGACCTCAGTCTGATCAGCGTATTTCGGAAATGAGATGACGGCAATGGAGAAGCTCACGATGTGTTTGTGCTCTGATCCTCGTGACTTGAAGAAGCAGGGGTGCTCGCCTGATGCGAGCAGACTTGTCCGATGTCGGACACTTCCCCCTGTAGCGTCTTCTGGAGCGGGCCGGGCTGCCTTGTCCTGGACATAAGGTTGCTGATCAGATAGCGGCAAGGATAAGGCAGGACAGGACTCACCTTGAAGCGAAACTGCCATATTCACCGCCAGGGGAAGGAGCGTCTGTGACAATGCTAATGAATGACGACAAACTAACATCAGCTGACCAACTGTATGCTTTCGACTCTGGCGTCCAGACGGGGTGATTCATTTACTGTAAAGACAACAAGGTCAGGGGCTGAGGATGGGAGCGTGTGCCTCTCTACAGAAAAGCAGATTGAAGTGTAGAAATATGACACCCATGCTGAACAAGAATGTCGGTGACTGGTCAAGCTTCCTTGCAACATTAGCACTCTAAATATGGTCGCTGAAAGGTAGGTGAGTCTGATATATTGCAGAACACATAGGATACATATACCCAACAACTCCGATACGAGAATACAGAATGCTCGATTTATGCACTCTTCGATATTCCAAAAAAAACGCCCACTACTGCAACCATCTACCCAAAGGCAGCTGAGGCTAAACTATAGCAGTTCGGCGTAATAAGAAATACACCTCGAATTCACGCAAGATTGGATATAGGCGTTTTCGAGCCCAGCGAAGTTCCTGGAGAGACATTGGAATTTTGAGCATACCCCGGTAGGTGGCGATACATGGTAGCTGACGGAATGCAGTATAACCAGGCGCACGATAGGTCAACTCAGCAATGGGGCGTCTTTGATCACGGATCTCTAGATTTCGACTGTGAACGTAACAGAGCATACGATTACTTCATGGAGAATGGAGAGATGAGGAGACTCACCGTGGTTTCACGGCACCGACGAACAGGAATCACCGGATGGCTGCAAATGTCAATGAGCAGAAGATGTACCGAAAGAATGCGAGGCCCTTTGCCCATTGGGTCTTCATGAACTGATCTGCATGGAATAGTCGCGAGTGATACTCAGGATGGTTTGTGGAAGTCTCGAATAGACATGAATGGCTGATGCTGAGGTGACAATTGCAGATGCATGTTCCAGTGTTTGCACGTGTACAGTCTGCACTTCTGCACTGCTGGCGCAATAGTGGGGCTCACAGGATTCCCACGGAAACAAATCGCACGCCACTGGGAATCGGACGGGACCGGATTCTGAGGTAAGCCAACGCAACCCACGGCGGCGGGAAATCTTTTGGCGCCATTCTCCACGACGACCAGCTCTGCAAAAACCACGGTAAAGGGCCCTTTATCTTCACAGTTCAAAGCTGCTTTTTAGCTTTACAAGAACAACACCTTGACATGTCTCAGCTGTATCTTCCTGCCACGGGGCGAACCACCGCCCCATCATCATCGGCAAAGGAGACCTCGTCCGGTCTTAGCAGCGAAAAACAGTTGAAAGTGGAAGATGTCCAGGAGGCTTATATCGACCACAAGGACCGGTACGTCCTGGCTCTCTAGTTTCAGCTTCTCTGGCAATGTTCATGCTGTTCTTCGCAGTTTGGTCCGCGCTATCGACTCTACAAAGTCTATCCTCGACGACCTCCGCAAGTTCAACAAGGAGGACTGGGTAGTCAGGTATCCGCAACTAAATGACCAGCCTCTGGAGGAACAACCTGCTCCGACCTCCACATCGACCAAGCGTCGCAAGCATCTGCGTCGTTCTCTCACATTCGCGGACGATCCAAGTTCTCAGACAGAGGTTGTATTCTCGCCTGTTAGAGGCCGCATGACTCGGGCAGTCACGCTTGCATCTATCGTAGATTCTAAGGAAGAAGAGGAGCCAAATGCTGAAAAGGAGGCTGAGGAGGGTGACCGTCTAATTCCTCCCTCCGAAGGCACTGATTTTAGTATTCTGCGTCTGGATCTTAAACTTGGATCCCATGGTTCTTCCACCGCCCCTGCCGCGCTTGTCTCTCAGCTCGAGAAATCCTCGATAGCTAATTTGCTCGACGAACGCATCAGTGCATCCCTTAACCATGTCGACAAACTTCGGCTTCGTGTGGAGGACACATCGTCCAAGGTTCTCGTCACTGGGGACCTCAACTCTGGCAAGTCGACCTTTGTTAACGCTCTGCTCAGGCGAGAGATTATGCCGGTCGATCAGCAGCCGTGCACTACCGCATTTTGTGAAGTTCACGATGCGGCTGAGAATAATGGGAATGAGGAGGTTCATGTTCTGAAAGAGGGAGTGGTGTACTCTATTCAGGACGAATCGACATTCACCCGTGCCACTATCGCAGACCTCGAGGAGATAGTTTCGGACAACGAGAATGCTCAACCAGTTCTCAAGATGTACCTAGCAGACACCCGGGCTCCTTCGGAGTCTCTACTTAACAACGGCGTTGTCGACATTTCCCTCATTGATGCCCCTGGTCTCAATCGCGACAGTCTCAAAACCACCGCGCTTTTCACACGTCAGGAAGAAATCGATGTCATCGTCTTCGTCGTATCGGCCGAAAATCACTTCACTCTGTCTTCCAAAGAGTTCTTGTGGAATGCAAGTAACGAGAAGGCTTATCTGTTCATTGTCGTAAACAAATATGAACAGATCAAGAACAAAGAGAAGTGCAAGAGGCTCGTTTTGGAGCAGATCAAACAGCTCAGTCCTAGAACATACGAGGATGCTAATGACCTCGTACATTTTGTCGATTCGGCTGCTGCTCTTCGCCCTTACACCGCAAATCCGGCGTTCGATGATTTAGAATCCTCCCTACGTTCATTCATCTTAGTCAAACGGTCCAAGTCGAAACTGCAACCTGCGTCTACTTATCTTTCCAACCTTCTCTCCGATGTCGAGCTTTTAGTTGGTGCAAATGCTATTGTCGCGCAGTCGGAGCTTGACCGGGCCAAGGATGACCTTACGAGGGCTAAACCGGTGTTGGAGAAGATGAAGAACGGTCGGAATGATCTGGAAGATGATCTTGAGACAGTAGAAGAACAGGGTGTTAGTCAAACAAGTACCAAAACGCTCGAGATGCTCTCCGCTGCACTCGATCGAGTTGGCCAAGGTAAACTGGGAGTCGATCACACCGCAATCTCCCTACCGTCATACCCCGGCTTCCTTCGTGTCTGGGATTATGTCAGGGACGTTAGAAAAGCCCTGCTCACCAGCTTGGATGTGGCTGTCAAGCTTGCAGAACATGAAGCCCGCGTCACCACCACTAACGGCGTCAACGCGATTGGTAAGCTTGGTGATGAACACTTGCCTGAGGGCGTCGAGAGATCTCGCAGGGTTTTCATGCCCGAAGCTATGTTCAACATTCGTCCCAGGAAGGGGGGTCGTCTCGGCAACCGTCGCAATTCGTCAGCAGGAGGTGCGATCGTCGCTGGTGGCCTACACGGACTGGGTATCGGTCTCGCTCAACGCCCTGAGATGCTTGAGACGTCATTCCTCGATATCTTCGACGTTCCACACCAACTGTCTGCGCACTTGAACCAGGGCAAAGCAGTTGGTGAGGAGGAAGAGATCAGTCCGACTGCTCTCAGTGTTGTGTCCGTTGGTATTGGCGCGGTGACGATGGTTGGTGGCCAGACTTTCGGAGCGAGGGGACTCGTCGAGGCTGTGTTGCGCGTGTCAGAGCTGGTAAGCAATGAGTCGGTGAGGAAGTGGGCGGCGCCGGTGGTTGGTGCGGTGGTTATGGGCGCGACGGCTTACTTCATTCTCGAGCTACCCAACACTATTCCCAGGACTGTTGGGCGTCGCGTCAAGGCTTCACTCGTGAAGGTGGACCAGGACGTCCCAGGGGATGAGCTTTTCGTCAATGCACATGCAGGTAGAGTTAGCAGAGAAACGAGGAAGGTGCTTCGACTAGCATCTTGGGACTTGAAGGAGCGGTTCAGAGTGGCCATGGATGAGAGGGGCAAAGAAGTGAAGAATGCAGAAGATATGGAAAGAAAGGCGAGGAAAGCTCTGGAGTACTTCCATGGTGTAGAGAAACAGACGGGCGAAGTGAGGGGCGACGGTGGGTTGGTCGTGGGGCTGTAAGTTCGCGGTCAGACTTGTAACACAAAGTGGTGATTTTTCTTTTCGTTTTCTCAATTTTACTCTCCTCATCCCTCACTTTCACACTTTGAATTTGAATTTCTGGAGATTTGCTATTGTTAAAGAAAATTCGCCTATTGTTCCGATAGTTTTTGACAGAGTCTTTTTTCTCGCCCCCACCTTCGTTGCGTTCTTGTGCACATATTCTCCATCCTATGCACCTTTTTCCACGACGTTCTTTGCATCCAACAATCCTCCGACTTGCGCTTCATCTTGCATTTCCTTTTCTTTCCCTTTTTGTTCACGTATTGCAACGTATATGTAATGACCACCCAAATTTTATAGATGGCTGGTGTGGTTTCTGTTAGGGAGACACACTTGCGTTTAACTTTACACACTACTCAGATAATGGAATCTATTCAAGTGTTATTGGACCAAACCTTACTGTGAGACTATCGGTGGCACTGCCCTATAACGCAACACCGTGACTGAAGACTTTCCAAACAGCATCTTCGTGGCTCCAGCGCCAGCAGGGGTTTTCAACCTCGTCATACTGCACGCTCTTGACATTCGTCACCTCGTCGACATGGATGAATACACTGTACATTCTTATCATCCGTGCGATCGCTCAGGCAAATCGGCTGCTGTTCGTTCGCTCATCACGTTGGGCCGACCGTCACATTTAGAGAAAGTCATCTGCAAGGAGCGGGCGTGTGTCCATGTAAAAGGTGAACGTCCAAATGATACCTCGTAGTTGCTTCTCAAAGGACTCATGTCCTGGCGTTATAGCGTGTATATGGACAATGCGAACCCATAGCGGCAGGCACTTTCTGGCACTTTCCAAGGATTGAACAATTACCAAAAGCTGCCCACTTGTCCTCAAGTAGCTGTTACACGCTAGGATATAGCTACATCCGAGAAGACTTCTTGCGTTAACTACAATGTCCGATCGGGCCAGAGTCACAGCGTGGATGAAGTAAGGTTAGTAAAGTGATATGATGCTGAGGAAGGTTCTTGGAAAACACGTTTCTCTAAGATAAACGTGTTTTCCAAGATAGTACACTGAAGGCAGACCCTAAAGAACGGTTCATCGATTTTTCACCTATGGAGAATTGTTGGCTGCAGCATTCCACTTGTCGAAACAAAACTGTACATTCAGTCGACTGCTTAGGTATGCTCTGGTGTGGGCGACATCCGTAAGGCAAGAGAAAATAAGGACGCAACAAATTTAACATGAAGTGAGTTTTTCTATCGGTGTCATGCTGTATCTCGAGCTCGGTAGCTTTTGGCGTGACTCGAAGCTGACTACAAGATACTAGGCCTGCCATTACTCCGAGTCCCGGATAATTAGCAAGTGAGTTGACTTCATTGGGCTCTGCGACTTCTCCTCGCTGCTTTTGATTGTACAAACTGCTGGATGGTTCCTTCTACATGGATATAAAACGGCCAATCAACGCGTCATTTAAGTTCGAACGGCTCGCCACTCGAGGGGTATAAAAGGACATTCAACAAGGCATGGCACACTTCCAAACGAGACTACCCCTCTGTCTACTCAATCACCGAAAATGTCTGCCTTGTGGATTCCCGTCGCTAAACCGGCCAACAGGCTCGCTCGCTATCGTGCTTTGTCTCCACTAGCAAGTGTTCATGTTTCTCCTCTGCAGCTCGGTGCCATGAGCATCGGTGACAAGTGGGAGAAACTTGGTATGGGAAGCATGAACAAGGAATCTTCATCCAAGCTCCTGGATGCTTTCTATGACGCAGGAGGCAATTTTATTGACACGGCTAACGTCTAGTGAATATTGTTACTTCAACTCGCTTCATTCTACATATTCATGCATTCCTTTAGCCAAGACCAAAGCTCCGAAGAGTTTATTGGAGAATGGGCAGAACAGCGCGGAATACGTGACCAACTCGTTATCGCAACAAAAGTAATGCACTATAATTATTTGTTTCTTTCATCGGCTCACGTCTGTACCCAAGTACACCTCAAACCGTGAACGTGGAAACAGCAACATCAAGCAACACGCCATGTACGCGGGAAATAACTTCAAGTCAATGCATATCAGCGTCGAGGCCAGCTTGAAGAAGCTCAGGACTTCCTATATCGATATTCTCTATGTCCATTGGTGGGATTACGACACCTCGGTGGAAGAAGTAATGAACGGTCTCCACACTCTCGTACAGCAAGGGAAAGTGCTATACCTTGTATGTAGTGAATGTCTTTATTCAACATCGTTTGGGCTGATTCATGGCTACTACGACAGGGCATTTCCGACACTCCGGCCTGGATAGTGTCCAAAGCCAATCAGTACGCTCGCGATCACGGGAAGTCACCCTTCGTGATTTACCAGGGTGCATGGAACGTGATGGAACGATCTTTCGAGCGCGACATCATCCCTATGGCTCGCTCTGAAGGCAAGTACTTCGAAAGGCAACCTCGCTATCCTGTCATTATCATCTTACAATTTCCTCCCCTTTCTCACGGACAGGCCTTGCTTTGGCTCCGTGGAATGTAGTTGCCGGAGGTAAATTCCGAACCGACGAAGAGGAAGAACGTCGCCGACAAACTGGTGAGAAGGGTCGCACACTCACCAACCCGAATTGGGAGCGCAACGAAAATGAGAAGAAAATGTCAAAAGCTTTGGAAAAAGTGGCTCAGGAAGTCGGTGCAAAGCACATCACCGCCGGTAAGTAGACCTGTTTTCTTCTTAAACGCAGCATCAGACGTTGACCCATCTACGTTTTGATTACTACAGTTGCTATCGCATATGTTATGCAAAAAACGCCTTATGTTTTTCCAATCATTGGCGGAAGAAAAATCGAACAACTCGAAGCAAATATCGAGGCACTTGCGATTTCACTTTCACCTGACCAGATTGCTTACTTGGAAAGTATCCTTCCATTCGATCCCGGCTTTCCTAATACTATGGTCGTGAGTGGTCTGCTTTATCTATTAATGTGTCCCACGAACATCGTTTCTCAATCCCTCTTTGAAAAAAGGGAGACGGTACTCAATACAGAATTGCCATATTGTCAGCTGCGTACTTGGAGAAACAACCTTTGCGCCAGGCCATTCGTCCTGAGGAAGAATGAGCTATCTGCAAATGCTGTCTTATTTGTATTGATGGGAACTTTCCTTACCGGGCAGTTGGGATAACCTGGAGGAGGTTATTTTCAACGAGACCCACGTAGGCTTTGACAGTATGTACCAATGTAAACGTATGCCTATGCAAATTGATCGTGTTGTCGTTATCGCATATGCTCGTTGCAGAAGTTGGTTGATTTGCTCCTGAAGATACGTTGGAGGCTGGATTAGCCTTCGGACATTAAATGGGCCGTCAACCGGACTCTCAGCAAACTCGGTGCTCCCGCATTTGCCGCCTTGCTCAGGTATCCGTTTGCTCCTTTTTCGTGCTAGGTCTGGGTCTGCTCCGGAGAGCAACTTGAGTGGTATGGTTGATTATACTTACTCAGATCAGTTCGTCAGGTTAGCGTCAGGGTGTGCCAGGAAAATGTAATGCCTGACAAGGTAAAAGCGGTTTTTGAAATCATTTTCCCGACATCAAGTCCTTCTGATTCCAGCAGCAAGCACAGCACATCAAAGGCTCAGACTACAATGTACTTGTACTGCCGTTGAAACAGGTATAAAATATGACTCTGCTATCTTTTGACTAGTAATAGTGCCTTACTCTACTGATATCGCTCCTCCTCCGCTGCCGCCTGAGCTTATGATGCCACATCGCTTATATGCAATTAAACGTCGCAGGGCCATTGGTGAAATTGTACGTTTGTTGGCTTGTTTTTCCCCTTATTTTGAACTGATAAATGCAATATAGGCACGTGAGTATTGTGAGTACTAACTTGGACGCCCCATCAAGGATCCAAAAAAAGCAAAGCTGAGCCCCTAGCTGACACCCTTCTTGCATTTTTAGATGGACTGCATCTTTCATGTCTTGCATGTGACATCTATCTATGGCATCGCTGGGTCCCAACCCAATTTCGTATGAAGATTATTCTCCATAATCAGAGATCGTATGGTCCTTCGCGGTCATTTCAGTTCTGACATGTTTGAGTATGTCGCTCCCTTGCTACGCGGATTTGTTTGCTGAACAGCAGAGTTGGTATCATCTATGGTACACCGTTTTTTTTGGTCATCAGCAAGTCGCTGGGTTGTTCCTTGTGCGGTCATGTTGGTGAGCTGCTAACGACGTTTACTTCATCTCTTGCATAACGAAGTTTAGATATCAATGTTAATATATGATGACATTGGCAGTATCATCTTTGATGTAGTCAATGTTTTATTGATAACAACGGTTTTTTCAGGCCTACTACAATGCACAGACCAACTGCATGGAGTGACTATGTATGTTTCCGGGCGTTTGTTAATATACCATTCTGACAAGTAATACCTCCTGTGGCCAGGTGGCGGTCTTGTGTGCGATACCATGCAAACAACTCGACTGGTTATTACAGCCCTCACATTTTTTCGAACCTGCAATGTATTCAATGATCTCTAGCTTTTCAGAAACAAATCCGCTTCGGAGTTCAAGAAGACAAAATTGCTCCTTGCCATGCTTATTGAACTGACCTTTGAGGCTGGAATGGTCGCCAGTGGAGCGACATTGCCACTGGTAGAGTTAATAACGGCTATAGATCTTTTTCTGATCTTCCAGATTTTATTCACTTTACAAACTGTATAGTATCTTTCTCATCACCGTGCGCTCGAGCGTGTCGAACAAGAATTGGCTTTGAGGATGGATGTCTGGGACTGGATTCCAGTCTCTATTGCATCTTTTCTGTGCGTGAGGACGCGAGGGAAGCATCAACCCTTGTGATACATAGGCTGTTCGGACGTATCCTGGCACGATGCGAGGTAACCGACGACGTGCTTGTAGGTACCAATGGCGAAGCAAATGTTGAGGGAACGGTGTAAGAGCATATTTTCTTGGACGAGATGCTCGTCTAACCCTTGCTGTGACCCGGTCGCGTGTCGTATGGTCCCGGCATTTATGTCGTGACAATGGTTCATGGTGAGGCTATTGCAATGTAGTCGGCTCTGAGGGTGTAAATTCGGTGCTAGAAAACTTGGTAGCGAAGAAGGAAGCCTGTAGTTTGACTATAGTTTGGTAGTGTGTTTTTCCAATCCTTTATAGCATTGTTATGTGGTCGCTTTGGCATCAGCATGAAGTACACAAGCTGCGCTTTGGTCCCCACATTCGTGCAAGTATATGAGATGAACAAAAATTAATGGATAGTAATAGTAAACGCACACGTGGGCTGCACAAGGTGATTTTGATGTTTACATTGAAACAAAAATTCCTGTGTCTGAATAACTAGACGCTATGGAGCTGCTTGATATCGTGACGCCTAGATATAGTTAGCGATGGTCCTAGCTTGGATCTGAGTCTGTGCTTGTTAGCAAAGCGGGTTCACTACTTCTGACTCACATTACGAATACATGCTCTTCTTGACTTTCAAGGCTGGCAGAGAGGAAGTAAACTTTCTAGATTCTGGCCCGGGATAAGGAAGGAAGGAATCCATATAGACAAAATTGACCATAGGAAAAGACTGGACATTAGGCAAAATGCGACTTGAAAATACGAAGAGGGACACGAACTAGCTGAGCTTCATCGATGCTTCATCTCTAACAGTGCCAGTTTGAGTGCACTGGGCCATCCAGTATTGTTGGTTTGAAATGTTTGAGCACCTTCAAGTTGTGTATTTCATAGAAGAAAATCCTAAATGGGCTGCGACACGTATATCTTGATTCAAATGAACTAACTTGGAACCCATTGTCACTCAGGTTGAGGATACGGTCGCAGTGGTTGTATCGATTGGGTTCAAGTTACTGGAAAGTTTGCAATTCGGATCGGCCTCGAAGTCGGACATTGCGTGGGCCGTCGGTCTCACCAAACTCGGTGAATAATTCTGTATAATCATGTTCAAGTTGTACACTGTCGTGTTGCTTTGTCTCCGTTATCTTGTCACCAGATTGCAAGCCGTCGGTTTCAAGTCTCTTGGATATTCACAGGTCTTTCTTGACGCATCAAAAGCTAACAGTGTCCAAAAGCGTTTTGAAGAGGTAAGATGAATACTTGGTGGTTGGAAGAAGAGATTCGATTCACTCACCATACTTGGTGGGTAATCGACCCAGCTCTTCCTGATCTTACCCCATAGGTATGCTGGTGTCCAATCGGTCCTTGAATTTATCGCGGCCTATGTGGTTTTTGTAGTTTCTTCTCAAAAGGACTCATGTCTTGCCGTCACAGGGTACATTCTGGACAGTGCGAACCTGCAGCAGCAGCACTCAGCTTTCCCGGCGTTGGCGGAAAATTGTCATCTCAACGAGCGCAGATAAGGCATTTCCGTCAAGGCCTCCCAGGTAGTACTAGCTTATTGTATCTATATCACATGACTCTGACACTTTCCAGAGGATCGGACAATTACTAAAAGCTGCTCATTGTTAAAGTAACTGTTACACGTTAGGATACAGCTACACACCCGAGAAGGCTTCTTGCAATGATCACGGCGTCAGACATAGCATGGATGAAGTGAGGTGAGTAAAGTGATATGATGCTGGGCGTTCCCAGAAAACACGTTCCTAAGATGTGACTGATAATAGAAACAGTCCCGGCCTAAAGACTGGTCATCCAATATTCCGTGTGGTTGCAGCATTTCACTCGTGGAAACAAAATGCATGTCAAGTCAACTATTCATGTAGACTCTGCTGTGGACGACATCCGGAAAGCAACAGAAAATGAAGGCGCAACAACGTTTATGTGAGACAACAAGTGAGTTTTTCTGTCAGTATTATACTACCTCGGTACCGCTTCAGGAGAAGCTGACTACAATGTATCGGACCCACCCATACCCCGGACGCTTAGAAAGTGAGTTAATTTCATTGGGTTCTGCGACTTTCTCGTTGTTTGAGATCTTACATACTGCCGGGTAGTTCCTTTCTACATGGATATAAACGGCCGGTTCGACGCGTCAGTCAAGTTCGAACGGCTCGCCATCCAAGGAGGCACAGAGGACATTCGAGGGGGGGTATAAAAGGACATTCAACAAGGCAAGGTACATAAACTTTCATACGAAATCACCTCTGTCTACTCCACCTACTCCGTCTACTCAATCACTGAACAATGTCTGGATTTTGGGCCCCCCATGATAAACCAGCCAACAGGCTCGCTCGCTATCGTGCCTTGTCTCCACTGGCAAGTGTTCATGTTTCTCCTCTGCAGCTCGGTGCCATGAGCATCGGTGACAAGTGGGAGAAATATGGCATGGGAAGCATGAATAAGGAATCTTCATTCAAGCTCCTGGATGCTTTCTACGATGCCGGAGGCAATTTCATTGACACGGCTAACAACTAGTAAGTGTTGTTACTTCAACTTGTTTCAACCCTAGATATTCATTCGTTCCTACAGCCAAGACCAAAGCTCCGAAGAGTTCATTGGAGAATGGGCAGAACAGCGCGGAATACGTGACCAACTCGTGATCGCAACAAAAGTAATGCACTTTTTAATGCCCATTATACATTTGCTCACGTCTGCATCCAAGTATACCACAAACTTTCAACGTGGAAACAGCAAAGTCAAGCAACAAGCCATGTACACGGGAAATAGCTTCAAGGCAATGCATATCAGTGTCGAGGCCAGCTTGAAGAAGCTCAGGACTTCCTATATCGATATTCTCTATGTCCATTGGTGGGATTACGACACCTCAGTGGAAGAGGTAATGGACGGCCTTCACACTTTTGTACAGCAAGGGAAGGTGCTATACCTTGTATGTAGTAAATGTCTTTGTTCGACATGACGTGCGCTGACATGTGCTTATTACGACAGGGCATTTCCGACACTCCGGCCTGGATAGTATCCAAAGCCAATCAGTACGCTCGCGATCACGGGAAGTCACCCTTCGTGATCTACCAGGGTGCATGGAACGTGATGGAACGATCCTTCGAGCGCGACATCATCCCTATGGCCCGCTCTGAAGGCAAGTACTTCGAAAGGCAACCTTGCTATCCTTGTCATTATGATCTAACACTTTCCTCCCTCTTTCTCACGGACAGGCCTTGCTTTGGCTCCATGGAACGTCATTGCTGCAGGTAAATTCCGAACCGACGAAGAGGAAGAACGTCGCCGACAGACCGGTGAAAAGGGTCGCACACTCATCAACCCGAACTGGGAGCGCAATGAAAATGAGAAGAAAATGTCAAAAGCTTTGGAAAAAGTGGCTCAGGAAGTCGGTGCGAAGCATATCACTGCCGGTAAGTAAACCTGTGTTTTTGTTTTAAACACGGCATCAAACATTGACCCACCTGCACTGTGATTATTACAGTTGCTATCGCATATGTTATGCAAAAGACGCCTTACGTTTTCCCGATCATTGGCGGAAGGAAGATCGAGCAACTGGAAGCAAACATCGAGGCACTTGAGATTTCACTTTCACCCGACCAGATTGCTTACTTGGAAAGCATCCTCCCATTCGATCCCGGCTTCCCTAACACCTTTATCGTGAGTGACCTACTTTTGCTAGTCATGCGTCCCACGAATAGTATTTCTCATGCCCCCTTGTTGACGCAGGGAGACGGTACTCACCACGGCTTTGCCTTACTGTCAGCTGCATATTTGGAGAAGCAGCCTTTGCTCCAGGCCATTCGTCCTGAGAAAGCATGAGCTATCTGCAGATTCTCTCTTCCTTGCATCAATGGGAACTTTCGCCACTGGGGGCAGTTGGGATAACGTGGAGGAGGCCTATTTCCAACGAGGTCCACGTTGTCTGCGACTGTATGTATCCAATCCACAATGTATGCACCTGCAAATAGATCATGTTATCGCTATCGCAAATGCTTGTTGCAAACGTTGATCTGCTCCGGGAGATTTATTAGAGGCCGGATTGGCTTTCGAAGACAGGTTGTGAACCCGACTCTCAGCACACTTGGTGCATTGTGGGCATGAATACGCAGCCTTTTCAGTTCCATGTTCCTCCTCACCGTCGGCTTTGGACCCATCAAAGGGGCTACCGCTCGCGCTCACAGATCGCGAACGGTTCCCATCTCCCCACCCAAAGCGCTCTTCTACCACTCGCCTCGGCAGTTCGATCGAGCATCGAGAGATGCTGGGGTTTGGGTTGATGGCAAAGAATGCCAGCAGTGTACGTATGTATGTGAACGGATACACATTCAATCCGCTCCGCTTCCAGCCCCCCCCCCCGGACGCGCCTGACGAGGATCGAGGATAAGTCGATCGCCTTCGTGAATAAGTTGGATCAAACCATCAGCGCTCACCTGGCATAGACAACAGTGCCATGATGATTGTTGTCAAAACTTTTTTTTGATGTCGTCTTGCGAAAAAAAGTCGACTTTTCGACGAGTCGTGTGAGGTAAAACTGACAACTGACTTTTCCCACTGGCAGAGCCTCAAAGTCTCCGAATCTCAGAGGAGGGGTAGCCTGCGGGGGGGGGTGCACATTGCCATCGACAGGGGGGGGGAGACGACGAACATCGAGAACGTTGACAACCATAATGAACTTTTTAAAAAAGCGCCTTGTAAATATTAAATAGTGAATACTCCCCTGTCAACGTATTGATCCCATCTATCGATTGCATCGTAGGCATCACAGTCGCGTGAATGGTCAACGTATGACGCATAATGATCAGGCCTCAATCAGGGGGTTGTCTGAAAGATCTGAACTACGTACCGTATACTACGATACCCCAGCCAAAGCCAAAAAGGCCCTCAATCCCACGCTTATCACATTACCCCGCTCAGAAAAAAGAAAAGAAAAGATACATACATTAAAACTCGCATGAAAATGAACAATGAACGCAATAAAATAAAAAACATACATTTTATCAGAAATCACGTACATACAACTTGATACTTTCCACACTAAATCAACCCCCCCAATGTTCTCTGGGTATGAACACGTCGTGTGGTCATTTGGTCATCGCGAGAAAAACCGCTCGTTCCACGCACCAACCTCCCCCAAGCCCGCCTTCCACGCTTCCGCTCCGTCCCACTCGTGTATCAAGGACGTCAGATGCGAAAAAGAAAGCCGTCAAGCCCGGGACTCGCCCCTCCCTCGGCTCACCAACGAGTACCCCCCCTAATACGAACTAGCCACACTCCCCACCCTGCCCCCATCCACCAACCACACCGCGCCGTTCACATACGCCCCAGCACGACTCGCGAGAAAAAGGATGGGCCCCGCCATATCCGTCAGCGTGCCTGCGCGCCCCATGGGGGTGCTGGCAGCGAGGACGGAGGGCGTAAAGTGTTGCGTGGCCGTCATCTCTGTCAACAAGGGGCGGACCCGATGAGCATGGAGGGATGGGGACAGGTGGACGAGAAAGAGACTCACCGCTCGGCCACACCCCCGGCGCCAGCACATTACTCCTCACCCCCCACTCCGCCAACAGGTTCGCGAGCAGCCTGCCGAGGTGGGTACACGCGCTCTTTGCGAGGGTGTAGGAGACGCTGAGGACGCGCGCGTCGAGTCTGAAAGAGCCGGAGGAGGAGATGGTGATGACTTGGGAGGTGGGGAGGGGGAGAAAGGGGTGTGACGGCGATGTGGGAGTGGGGATGGAGAATGGGGAAGTGGCGGTGGCGGCGGGAGGGGTGGGATGGCAGGGCGGTGTGGGGGTTGTATCTGATTCTGAAATATCAGATGGGATTGAGTCTGATTCAGGCACAGGGGGCAGGTCTGAATGTGGGGAAGGAGGCGTAGGCGGGAGAGAATGATAGGCAGCTGAGGAGGGAGTGGAAGCGAGGGATGTATGGGTGCTGCCGCGATCGAGATCGCCACGCATCAAGGCCGAATGCGGCTGGGCCTGTGATTGAGATTGAGAGGTGTTAGGAGATGTAGATTGTGAAAAGGGATAGGAGGGAGGTAGAAGTCCACGACGAAGGTTTCCAAGGTGTAAGAGCTCGAGAAAGGCGACTGTGGCGAGGTAGACAGCGGAGACGTTAGTCTGAAAGGTCTCTGAAAAGCCGAGGGGATCGGCCGTATCCCAGAGCATGCTCTGGAAGGCCTTTATGGAAGGGGCGTGTGTGGAGTCCTTGGGATGAGCGGAGGGATCGGAGGGAGAAGGGAAGCGGCGGGGGAGGATGTTGCGGGATATACCGGCGTTGTTGACGAGGAGGTCGATGTAGCCGTGGTTTGTGCGGAGAGTTTCGACCATGGAGAGGAGGGAGTCGCGGGAGGTGATGTCACCCTGGAGGGGGAGGATGTTGCCGTATTTCTGGTGGGAGTGATGAGGACGGAAGAGGGAGTGGAGGGGGAGACATACGTTGTTATCGCGAGCAGCGTTTTGGAGGACATCGAGTCTGCGGCCTACGATATAGACAGTCGCGCCATTGTGCTCAAGGGAGGTGGCGATGAGGAGACCGATACCTAGAGGAGGAGTGAGAAAGGGAGCAAGGGAGCAAGGGAGACGTACCAGTGCCGCCTCCAGTGACGACTGCAATCTGGCCGTGCACGCTGTAGAGATTTGCGGGGTCTATTGGGTTGTAAGCCATGGGAAAGGAAGGGAGGGGAAGGGAGCATGATATATAGCGTGAGGAGAGATGACTGGGACCCTCATTTGCAGATGTCCGTTTGACAGTGGGTCGTATCCTCAGAGTCTGTATGTCAGACAAGCTAGCCACATTTGTCATCACGACGAGAAGAACGGTGCATTGGTCATAGCCACGTGCGAGATCATCTCTTTTTATCGTCATCGCTGACATCATCCCATTCTGTCTACCTTTGGGTCACACATACCGATCATCTACACAGCCAACCCCACAGCCAGCCCCACCACCACCGCAGCCACCACCGCAACCAATCCCCACCCTTCTCCCCTCCCCACCGCCGCACCCGTCGTCGGCGACCCCGTAGACCCCGGAACACCCCCACTTCCAACCCCACTCGACCCAGACGGCGAGATAACCGTGTCCGCTCCCTCCGTGCCAAACACTCTCACGTACCCAATCTCAAAGTACGCCTCGTTGTAGTTCGACGCAGGGCCAATCACGTAGTCGTTGTAGCATACACCCGTGCACGTCGCGTTGAACGTCGCCGGACTGCCAGCTACACATCACCAAAACACAATCAACACTCATCCTATCGGTCACTATACACATAGACGCAACCTACCCCAGTCTATTTGTGAACGTCGCGTCAATTCAATCACCCATCTCAGAAAGGAACAAACACACCTCCGCAAAGCGTAATATCAAATATCAACTGCTGAGGCTGGAAGAACTCCGTGGTGTTGCATCCTCCACTAGGCCAGTTCCCCACAGCCGTCCCAAACGTCGACGTATCAATGGTGCTCGCATTCGACGTCAGCGACGACGGAATCTGCGACCGCGGGAAGAACCAGATGCTACGTCGTGCGCGTGTGACTATCCACCAGTGATCCCATTGACAAAGAACACAAAACGACTCACTTGATCCCACTCTCTGCCATCTCAGTCACGAACGCGCCCCCACCCACTCCTGCAAACCCTGCGCCGTACGAGCTCCCAGAGGGGTCTTGCACGATGCATCCCTGGTTGCCATTCGCAGACGCAGAGCAGTTCGTGCTTTGGATCAGTGTGGACGTTTGGTTCTGGTTCTCAACCATGCAGCCCTATGGGAGTTAAGGGGTCGGCGTTGGCGGTATGGGTGCTTATCGAGGAGGGAACACTTACCGTCTCGGTGTGCAGCGACATCTGGTTCATAGTCATCATATTCACACCTTCGAACGTGTCAATCTCACCACCCGCAGGCCAGCTGGGCGCTTGACTGTGTGTGAACAACCGCATCACCACAAGCTCCAACGTCGTATGCAATATACGGACTGGCTTACCTCCACCAAGCGGGCCAGACCGAGCACTACACAACAAATCAGTGGCCGAACCCCACGAGAGAGGAAATGGAAGAGAGGGAGACACACCCCATACGGAACGTGATACATATCAGCGACCCACACACTGCCAATCGCAAAACTGTCGTTGGACGTGATGCGCACCGTGTTGCGTTTCTGGTTGTAGGGGACCTGTAGAGTTTTTGTGTTAGCGCATCGTAGAATATCAAGTATGAGGGCAGAGTGGGAGGGAGGGACAGACGCACGGTGGTGGTGTTATCTACTTTGATGATGGCATGCAAAGTGCTCGAGTCGACATAGGCCAGCTGGTCAGAGGCGCCTTCAGAAGCGGACACGAAGCTGTAGAGCAAGACGTCAGTCATGGCTACAACTTATTTTTGGCGGTAGTGGTGGGGGGTGATTGAAACGCAAAGAAAGGGGGAGAGGGAAAGTAACGAAGCTTACATCGCATCTCCGTTTGTCAAGTTATCATCTACACGAGTTTACAGAGGCGAGGACGAAGTAACGGTTAGCGGGTAGTCTCTAGTTTCAGAGTGTAAACGAGGAGGGAGGGAAGGGACGTACAGTTGTTATAAAAGGTCCAGTCGTTGAAGAACGTAGACCCAGAGTATTCCTTCACAGCGTTGTACGTCGCAGCAGACACGAGCGCGGGGCCAGGGCCGCTGAGCAGCGCAATAAGGGGGGCGAGCCTGAGTATGGCTAGCGACATGGTGACTATTTGCGGGATCAATAACGGTCCAGATTTAAAATAGCAGCGTGCAAGGAATAAAGAGTAGAGTGTTAAGAGTGCTATGTACTTATGGTACTATGTAGCGGTGACGATTGACGGTGGCAAAGGGAATGTTTTCTAGCGATCGACTGCGCAAAAACGGAAAAAGACGAAAGACGAAACAAAACGTTGCAGAGGGAGTGTTTTTGTGGAGACGGTCTATTTTTGTTGTCGGGTATATTTGTCTCCCTGCACTGCCCTCCTCTGAGTTTTGGTTTGTTGCTGTGAACTCTACTCATTCTCATTTGAACGACTCAAGAATTTCCGCTGTTGCCAGGAGGCGAAACGGCATTGCGGCATGTACCAGAGAACGGTTGGTTTCCTCCACCACCTGCGACGACGCAGCCGAAGAGAAGAGGAGATTGGACGAGTGTGACGACGGGAGGAGTGACTGGCCATGGGGTCTAGTAGTTCCACAACGGGCTCAGAAGCCCATCTCATATATCTCATACCCCACTGTGGGCGGCTGTGAGGCTCAGCATCATACCACCGCACAAGTGCCGACAAACATCCAAATCTAATAGCCTATCATTGACGTGAAAACCTCTGCAGTATCATGGCCTGTTGCGTCTCTGGATAGGTCGCGAACGTCAAAGTCAAAGGCCTGCATGAGCCGTGTCAATGTGGGCGGCTGGCAGGCGGGGCCCTGCCGTTTCGACTGCGACGCCTTCACGGATGCCCATGCCCATGCGGGACGCAGTGGACGCTGGGCGGGCACGATAGGAGTCTAGTCTCGACGCCGCTTTCGAGTCAGGGCTTGAAGACTGGGACACATTAGTTGCGTTGACAAGAAACCGAGACCGAAAGAGGCATCAAAGCCACATCAAAGCGATCGTAGAAAAGTGCTTCAATGCGGCAATCAACTGGGTCCGCGACTTGTGTTAAGCATCTGTCGCTGCCCCGTTGCCCGTTTCCATGTTCTTCCGTCTGTTAGTGTAGTGACATCGATTATGATTAGGACATTTTGACGGTCATGGCAGCGACGCCTGGTCCCCTTCTACGTCGACGAGGACGAGGTGTACTCCTTGAAGTCGTGCCGGCTGCGCACATCCTATACATGTCGTTTTGAGGGGACCATGGTGAGCGTGAGCCAGCAGCCTTCTACGGTCAAAACCAACACTGTTAATACAACGACGACACTGAACCCCGTAAGGGATGGTGAGGAACACAGAACTAAAAGGCTGAGTTTCATGTTTGACTGTTTAACTGGTAGTCGTTGTATGAGCGCCCTTACTTGGAGATATACGAACATGGGGAGGATTGCAGGATGTATCACATTATCGCAAGGCCACATTTAGCCCTCCTCCCGGCTGGTCATTGGCACATAAGATAAAGATTGACTCGGAACATGGAACTCCTAGTCTTGATTGATCATGTGAAGCGCCGGATGCATATGGGAGCGATATCAGATTACGTAACGATAACATCCTCAAGTTCTCCTTCAAGCTGGTGCTCGCTCGCAAATGGGGTTCATGCTTCCCTCTCCCGAAAGCCCGCGAGAGCAAGCTCGCGTCCTCATGCTCAGAAAAGACGCAATAGAGACTGAGATCCAGTCCCAGGCATCCATCCTCAAAGCCAATGCCTGCACCCTCAGCTCTCCCCTGGTCGACGCCGATGGCTTTCCTCTCGCCGACATCGACATATGGGCCGTCCGACACGCCCGCGTGCGGATAATAGAATCGAAGAATGATTTGAAAGACGTGATGAATGAGGTTGGGAAGGTTCTGGAGGCTGTGTATGATCCCGCCGTTGTCGCGGCAGCGACATCAGGGGGCGCGAACGGGGCTGCCCATGCGAGTGCATCCACTCCGAGTCCAGAACCACCGAAGCCTTTCGCAAAAGTCGACGGCGTGGCGCCGCGTAGCCCTGCATCAGATTCTGTACGTCTTCGCTCGTGTGATGCCCACCGCCATCGTCATTTTAAAGCACCTATCGCAGGGGTTACGTCGTGAAGATCTCCTAGTCCAGTTTGGGCATCTAACGCAGAGCTCTTTCAGCTCATCGTCTTTGCAGCCGCTTGCCGAGCTGGTAGCTATGAGTGAAAATGTAAGTCCGTGTCCTGGCCCGGTGTGGATCACTGACTCGGACTGTTTATAGCGTGAACTGCAAGTCAAGGTGCTCCGTTCCGGTGAACTGACTACTCTCAAGTTCACTCCGAGGAAGGGTTGGGGAGGTCGTGGTATGTTAGGGTAAGTTGAAGATCCACAGCTCTGACTCTATTTACTTACGCGCAAATCCCAGATGTCACATCGTGCCGCATTCATCTTGATCGCTTTTATGACGTATACTTACACCTGTATTATCATCGAAATCACGGCTGGTACGCACTCATGTTGATGTAGCATCAGATCAAATTTTATAACATGTATAAGTAATATCAGAGAGAAACGGTGTAATTCGAGTGGTAAGACTCAACGTCATCCCTATAGTTTAGATCCGTATGTTATTGAGCGGTTTGTCGCAATGCGAGATTTGACCGCTTCCTGGGCAATGCGCACTTCTTCCATCACACCCGATAGTCCACCCTCCACAACCCATCGTCGGAAAACTTCTACGTCTGTCTCACATTCGGTATCCTTCGTATTCCATGACCACACAGCATGTTCGAGAAGGAACACACTGGAGGCCGTATGGCCTACCAGAAGTAGTGCGGGGCGGGGTACCAACGGCGACATATCAGTCGATGCTTTATAAACAGCTAGAGTCTGTTGAATGCCAGCTTGAAGAATGCTGAGCGAGTGCTGAAGTCGTACTTTCAAGCTGTCAGGAACAGAGTCGATGACTCGCAAGCTCCACTGAAGTTACATTTAGAAAGTGCAATGAGGGGTATGGATTCCCACTCACCGAACCAAACGCCGCAAACGTAGTCGGGTTTTTCGCAGACCGTACTATTTCCATGGCTAGGACGGCTGTAGTTCCTTCCCATATTTTTTCCACTAATGCGTCTCGGATGGATCTAAGGAAATGGCCAGCGTTAGCGTGAGCTTAGCTGCCAGTGATCGACTTACCTTCCAATACCAACTTCCTCCATATACCCCATCCCTCCCAGAGTTGTCATGGCCTCTTCCATGGCGGCAGCTGCCTTCTCAGCTGTAAATGCTTTCACCACTGCAGTCAAAATCCTAAGCAGATGTTGCTCTTCTACAGACGCAACCCCCGTCTCAACTTTGCCCATCATCAAAATAGTCCCGTAAGTGAGATGCGTGAGCGCTCTGTACGTCAGGCTTATGGAAGCCAGTTGTGCGACGTGAAGTGCGTTATCCTTGAGGACTTGGGTTCCGCTGCGGATCGCTCGGACCTGCGAGTAGGTAGTGGCGATGGCCAGGCATTTGCGTATGCCTCCTATACCAGACATACCGCTATAAATGCGCGTGATGTTGAGTACCGGGATGATGTTCTTCACCCCTTGATTGAGCTCTCCAAGAAGGTAAGCCTTGGTAGATTGTAGAGATAGCTCCGCGGTAGGAACAATGTGGGTGCCAATCTTATTCTTAAGGCGATGAACGTATATGCCATTGCTGATAGGTGAAGGTTCGGGGGAGGATATATCACGAATGAGAGGTAGGCGAAGGGGAACAAGGAAGAGTGACAGAGAACGAGAACCATCCTTGGTGTCCCCGGTTCGTGCCAAAGCGACCGAGATGTTGCTATCCGTCGCACTAGAAAACCACTTGAACCCATTCAACTGAAACTCTGGCCACATAGTACCCTTGGCGTGCTCGGTGGGAGTAGCTGTGGTTTCGGTCAAAGAGACATCGGAGCCACCTGGCCGCTAAAACTTTCCGTTACCCAAATGATCAAGGCCAGAATCATAAATCCCGCACCTCTGTCATCCATTGCCCAGAGGTGAAAGCAGTAGAAGGGTCCCGACTTTCCAGGAGAGGAGGCAAGTATCATTAGACCGTACAAAACAAATGGAAAGAGCTGAAAATACCTGATCAGACGTGGAAGCAACTCTCGTTTCATTTCCGGGGTTCCGATCAATTCAAGAACTGAAATATTGATCGTCATGCAGCATTGGAATTAGTCGTAGTCTATCATACCTCGTGCACACCCATCTGTCATACTCATTGGACAATGTATCTGGCACAACGGTTTCATGTTCTAGCTGACAACTTCCAAGTAAAGAGCTGAGCTTACCACATGTGAATCTCCTGCCATGAGATGTATCTTGGCGAATCCATACAGACGACTGTATTCGTTATACTTGCGCTCATAAAAGATCCCGGGCATGCCTTCCTTGAAGCAGACTGCTTTCAGATCTCTCCACCCTTCAGACGTTTCGAGGACATCAACGCGTTGGCCCCAATGATTGTACTGGGTTAATCGAGGAGGTGCAACCCGTTCACTAATGGCGCGTATAGCTAATTGCCAGGATGAAACATGAGGACTTGTGCCGCGCTGCAGGATACACTTTACTTACATGTGATAACTTCGTCTCCAAAACGTACTAGATCTGGCTCGACCTCGGCAGCTACACTGCGCTGCTTTTAGTTTGTTTGAGTAACCATGTGACGCTGACACACCTGGGAGGCAATAACCTCTTGAGCAGACCAGGAAGGGCTGGATCCGTAGTGTAAGGATTTCCCTCCAAGTATGGTATCTTTCGTATGATAACTGCGTGAATCACTTCTCCTAAACGCCAAGTATTCGCCTTACCGGCTGAAAGCCCTCCTCAACACCCATCTTGGACCAGGCTATAACAGCACTTTGAGCTTCTGCCAGCAAGACGTCGGGAGAGACACGCAAGTATCACAGCCAAAAGACTTAGAATGGGCGGCAGGGGAGGTTGTCACAATATCACAGGAGGCAAACCACGCCATACGCCAGTGTCTTTGGAACATGATTATATGGAGTTCTACGAAAACCCACACATGTACAAGTTTGCTGAGAGACCGGTTCATACCTGGGCCGGTCCCCGAAAGCCAATCCGGCCTCTAATAAATCTGCCGGAGCAAATCAACGTTTGCAACAAGCATTTGCGACAACGATAACATGACTTATTTTCAGGTGCATACAACGTACAGTGGTGATACAGTCGCGGACTACATGGATCTCGTTAGAAATGACCTCCTCCAGGTTATCCCAACTGCCCCCAATAACGAAAGTTCCCATTAATACAAGGAAGACAGAATTGATAGGTAGCTCATTCTTTCTCAGGACGAATGGCCTGGCGCAAAGGTTGTTTCTCCAAGTACGCGGCTGACAATATGGGATAGCAATATTGAGTACCGTCTCCCTGGGTAAAAAAAAAAGGTAATGGGAAACGGTAGTCTTGGGACAAATGACTAGATAACTCACGAAAAAGGTATTAGGGAAGCCGGGATCGAATGGAAGGATACTTTCCAAGTAAGCAATCTGGTCAGGTGAAAGTGAAATCTCAAGTGCCTCGATATTTGCTTCGAGTTGCTCGATCTTCCTTCCGCCAATGATCGGGAAAACATAAGGCGTCTTTTGCATAACATATGCGATAGCAACTGTGGTAACCAAAATGTAGATGGGTCAATCTGTGTTTAAAAAAACAGCACAGGTCTGCTTACCGGCAGTGATATGCTTCGCACCGACTTCCTGAGCCACTTTTTCCAAAGCTTTTGACATTTTCTTCTCATTTTCATTGCGCTCCCAGTTCGGGTTGATGAGTGTGCGACCCTTTTCACCGGTCTGTCGGCGACGTTCTTCCTCTTCGTCGGTTCGGAATTTACCTCCAGCAATAACGTTCCATGGAGCCAAAGCAAGGCCTGTCCGTGAGAAAAGGGAGGAAAGTGTTAGATGATAATGACAAGGATAGTAAAGTTGCCTTTCGAAGTACTTGCCTTCAGAGCGGGCCATAGGGATGATGTCGCGCTCGAAAGATCGTTCCATCACGTTCCATGCACCCTGGTAGATCACGAAGGGTGACTTGCCGTGATCGCGAGCATACTGATTGGCTTTGGATACTATCCAGGCCGGAGTGTCGGAAATGCCCTGTCGTAATAGGCACATGTCAGCGCATGTCATGCCGAACAAAGACATTTACTACATACAAGGTATAGCACTTTCCCTTGCTGTACAAAAGTGTGAAGGCCGTCCATTACCTCTTCCACTGAGGTGTCGTAATCCCACCAATGGACATAGAGAATATCGATATAGGAAGTCCTGAGCTTCTTCAAGCTGGCCTCGACACTGATATGCATTGCCTTGAAGCTATTTCCCGTGTACATGGCTTGTTGCTTGACTTTGCTGTTTCCACGTTGAAAGTTTGTGGTATACTTGGATGCAGACGTGAGTAAATGTATAATGGGTATTAAAAAGTGCATTACTTTTGTTGCGATAACGAGTTGGTCACGTATTCCGCGCTGTTCTGCCCATTCTCCAATGAACTCTTCGGAGCTTTGGTCTTGGCTGTAGAAATGAATAAACATCCAGAGTGAAGTAAGTTGAAGTGACAATACTTACTAGTTGTTAGCCGTGTCAATGAAATTGCCTCCGGCGTCGTAGAAAGCATCCAGGAGCTTGAATGAAGATTCCTTATTCATGCTTCCCATGCCATATTTCTCCCACTTGTCACCGATGCTCATGGCACCGAGCTGCAGAGGAGAAACATGAACACTTGCCAGTGGAGACAAGGCACGATAGCGAGCGAGCCTGTTGGCTGGTTTATCATGGGGGGCCCAAAATCCAGACATTGTTCAGTGATTGAGTAGACGGAGTAGACAGGGGTGATTTCGTTTGAAAGGTTGTCTACCATGTCTTGTTGAATGTCCTTTTATACCCCTTTGAATGTCCTTTGTGTGCCCCCTTGAATGGCGAGCCGTCTATATCCATGTAGAAAGGGACTACTGATAATTGAACACTGTTGGAACTCAGCGTCAGGGTCTGATATATCCTAGTCACAAGAGCACCACAACTGAATTAGTATAACACGGGTAGAAAACTCACTTATTGTATGCCTCACGTTAAACATTGTTGCGCCCATATTTTCAAGCTGCAAAATGACTTGGTACTCTTCTGAAATTCTAGCGAGAAGTCTGGCGATTGGTTCGGTGTCCGGTGAAAACCACATTTGGAAACCTGACGAACGAGTCACGAACCCAGCCTCGTAATTTCGGTTGTTAGCCGAAAATGTCTTCGAATACTAATGAACGGCTGGGTCCCATTTTGGGAGGACTTAGGGGCTAAAAAGTCTCCAAAAAAAAGTCACAAACTTAGTATACTATCGTTGGACACCGGATGCAACCGGTAAGAGATATGCACTTGGGCCTCCAGAGGCTCAATAATCGCTGTACAGGTAGCTAAAAAATTGCCAGATGTAGAATAGAGTATAGAGAATATAACTGTGAAGAAATTTAGTGAATAGCTTATCTGTAGCCACAATGACAGACCTGACACTACATTCTTGAACTCCATGAGTGTGAATTTTGGGGGAAAGATGGCCAGATTTGACCAGATCTTATGCTGGGAATATTGCAATTTCTCTCTAGGAAACGTCAATAGGTAGGCCCCTACAATGACAGATACTCACTGAGCTGATTGGGGCCTCAAAGCATCTGGAGAAACAAGAACAATGATGAAGTCATGACCAGGTGACCAAAACAGGCAATCACGCACCAAGATAATCAATCAAAGCCCACTAGCTCTGCTTTAGTATGTACTGCACATACCACCAGCGTCAGGACTTGGTATGACCTGGCAGAATTCAACTAGTAAGCACTGCCTGATTTGGTCTGTGAGTGTCACTGTGACCCAGTGTGACCAGAAATTGCAGAACCATTCTAAAACATGCATTGTCTTTTTGGTTTTGTTTTGCTACTCTAATGCTTCAAGTTCTTACTTATTTTTTTATATAGGCAAGTAGAAAACCAAAAATTATATCTGCTGATCAAGTTCCAATGGTCTCAAGCTCAACGACTGGTGAGTTATTCAACTTCTCCCCAGACCAATAGCACCTATTGTAATATTATTGAAATATTGAAGTAGTTAAGTCAATAGAGTTTGAGCCACACACACAAGCCACAAGCGTGGAAAGCCCCTTCTTCTTCCACTCAGACATTACTGTAGATATTTTACTCCATGAAATTCTGACTTTTTGCACCTCAATTGTTACAATACACAATTTTTGGAACTTTAACTTTCACTCTCTGATTTATCTTTCTTTCTTTATTTCCACACATTGTGCCATGCGGCACTTTTTTTTTGTTTCAAACTGCACTTTCTTGTGCTGCACTGCCTTTCTTTAATCTTAGCTATCATATCCGTACTGGAGAACAGGACTCTGGCATCTCCAAAGGAGATATTTCCTCAAGTCTGAACCTCTTGAATCTTTGGTACTCTTGGGATTACACTCATGGCCTGTCGGTTGGCATAGCCCCATTGTCATGCACCAAAATTGATTGGTAGCATGGACAAGTGTCAGTTAAAAATGAAGTACATAGTCAAAAGACTCGCCTTTGTGCCATACAGGCACAGTGCCACATAAAATAGTAATTAATATTGCATTTTTCAAATTTGTTAGTTTTGGTGATTCTGCACCTAGTTGTGCTATCTATTTTCCCTTCTTTCTAAATCACTTTCCTCTTTATTCTTTTTGCTGTATTATTCAGTATTCACTGAGCATTCTATAATTTCGCCTTTGTGGCTGATTTGTTTACCTTTGTTTACAAAACTTCGGACTAGTATTGCAGAGTCCAGTATTCCTATTCTTTAGTTACTCATACTGGACTCTAGGTACTGTACACATTCTGTACTCTCTGATAATATAGTTACTCATACTGGACTCTAGTTCTGTCCCTGTTAGCTCTCAGCAAGTGGCTAGACACTTCCCAGAAGTTCTCAATTGAACAAAATTTGTGGCTGATCAGCACCACCTCTATTAGGCAATTGTAAAACCCTTATCCCCTATACCGAGTTAACGGAGGGATGAAGGCCCAAATCAAACAAGTAGCGTTACAAATAGCGATTGAGAATTAATCAACAACTGAGGAAAGTATGTACATGATGGTCTACTATATATATGTTTCTGAAGGTCAGCCATGAGGCGCTGACTGATGTTCTTTGTAATGGTTCTAGACTCTTGTCACGTGATGGTCACGTGATCTGATATAACTACGTATTTATTTTATCCGCGCTAAAGCAGCAGCTTAACATATCTTATCTGTCATGTGATCAGATATCAAAGAAAAAGAAAAAAGGAAATTAGCGCTCAGATTAGCGCTTCTGGTTCAAGTCGTGACATTACCCCCTCCTTAGGACTTTCGTCCCGAAAGTAGGGGTCCATCTTTCCGTTTTCCCAATTGAACAATTGTTTTCGGACTCTAGTCGTTGTGAAGTTTTCGAAGGGTTGGAAATGTAATTGAAATCGGATCCGTTGAGGTGCACTAGGATTGTTATCGTGGAATGTTTTTACTTTGTCGGGTGAGTTGTTTAGGTGTTGTTCGGGTTCCCACGTGCGTTCCTCTTTTGGATAGTTCTTCCAATGTACTAAGTATTCCAATTTCCCTCGTTTTAGACGTGAGTCTAGAACTTCTTCGACTTCATATTCTTCTTGTCCGTCTACTATTACCGGCGGTATCGGTTTGGGTTTCTGTTGGGAAGGAAATTGTGGTTCTTTGTATGGCGTGAGTTTTGTCTCGTTAAAGACCGGATGAATGGGTCACCATGTCGGTGGTAATGCTAGTTTATAGGCTGATTCGCCTATCTTTTCCAGTATCTCGAACGGGCCGTGTCTCTTATCGTCCAGTTTCTTAGCTGGTCGATCTGTTGAGATATTTGTTGCTTCTACATACACCTTATCTCCTACTCTATATTCCACTGCTTCTCTTTTTTTTTTATC